TCCAAATTTGTCAACTTTTGCTTATTTTCTTCGATCTCACCAACTTACATCACAACATCAAAATCACACATCTAATTATTTATCAATTACATAAACATTACATCATTAATTATTTAATTAACAAAAAAAATTACATCTTTATTAATAACAAATTAATTTTTGAACAAAAGTATTAAATATAAGTTAGGCAAACATGCATTACACGTTGCTTGCACCTAGTATAAATATACATATACATATGAAGAGCGACCATGAGAGCTCACGACAGTCTACATCCACTGGCGTTGCAACTCTTGCAACAGTATAGATTATAGCTATATGGCTTACTATGACCTCGCAGCAAATTGTAGCTATAAATTCTTGAACAAAATCTATGGACGCCTTTGAAGAAATGCAATCAAGTGCTTGTTTGGAAAATTTAAAAATATTTAGGCCAAAGTAAATAATTAATTTTAATACTCATATTTTATGACATCCACAAATTTTCGATCATATATTTCATCAATTCTTATAAAAATATGTTGAAACTTTAATAAAAAAATTCGCCAAACAACCCCTGTATGTCAAAATGACCAATTCAAGAATGTAGCATCTAAGTTGTTCACGAAAATTCCAATTTAAATTCACCCTTATTTATGTATATAGTAACCTCTTCAAATGCCTTGGCAACAAGGATTGGGTAAATATTAGCTCTAACTCGATATTAAGGACCTTCATTTTCACCCATTCATTATTGGCTTGAGTTACATGGTAACATAATGATTTGTAACCAGCCCATTTAATTTTTTTTAGTAGAAAAAAAATATTCTTGTGTAATTTTNGACTTGAGTTACATGGTAACATAATGATTTGTAACCAGCCCATTTAATTTTTTTTAGTAGAAAAAAATATTCTTGTGTAATTTTTTTTACGTATTAAATCGGTCTGTAATCTGGTCATGGATCTGTCCCTGACCTTGATGGAGCTGCATTACCGACTCAAGAAAAGATTGAAATAAATTTCAATTTTGTTAGACTCGATCTTTATTTTTATCCAGAAGACTTTTAGCAATGGTTATATTTTTTAATTAAAAAAAAAAAAAAACTTTTTGTGTAGAGTATGTTTTTTTTTTTTTTACTCTTATAGTAGATCATTTCATACATACTATAACTTTCACGAAACAATTTTTCCTTCCTATTTGAAAAATTGCAACCTTTATGAAAAAGTCAATAACTTCTGGATGAATGCCTATATCAAAAAACTATTTAAAAGGATTTTTTTCTTTTTTTACATATAAAAAATGTTTTTATTCTACTCTTTCTCTCTCTCGTGAAAAAGTTCAGCTTCAAGTTTCATATTAAAAGTTGGGCGATATATTGAGAATTTTCATTTGCTTGTTCCTATATGATTAATGTCGTGCTTTTTAGGATAAAAATATGTTCTATTACGGGAGTTACTTGTTTGTAATATTGAAAATAAAATTATCTTAATCAGACATTATAAATTCGATGGAGCTCCTATTATTTTGTAATTAATTCTTAAGATAAGATGATTGAATATTGATGCTACCAAAAACCTGCACTTGCTAGATCTTGAATTGGATGCTTGAATACATGTTCAGTACTTAAAACAAAGGCGTCAATGAGTGTCCTTATTACCCCTCCAATGCTTAAATTAGAAAGAGAATTTATGCGAAAAACTATATACGGAAATTACATAAAAGCGTATCTAAATAATTAACATTGATCTTGTATTTATAGACGTGATGGAATTTTAAAAGGACCCAATCACTTGTAGTCCTTATCCTTATCATGCAAAGTATTTGTGCTATATCAAAAGTATTATGTTTGAGTTTGAATCAAACTTGTGGCAACTTGGTAGTTTGGATTGTGATAAAATTTATGGAGAGTCATAATTAGAGTTGATTAATCGTTATTACAGAACATGACCCCGACCTATAAAGCCCGACCTCAACTATTAGGCTATTAGCCCGACCTTATTCCATGGATAAATTGGCAGAGGTGAGCTCGGGCTTCTAAGCTCGAGTTCAGGGACAGTGCCATATTTTCTCACATCACAAGCCCCATGAGTCCAGATCGCAACTAATGATTATGTAATCAAGCTGAGATGTGAGATGCAAGGAGGTGGAGAAGCTTGAGGTCGAACTCCATTGTTGATTGGGGGTAACAACTGGGTGTTTGACGTGTGTTGGACGCGTGTTGGGCAGGAAGCAGGCGATCTTCGATGATCACCACGTGTCACAAATCCAAAGGTTATGATTGCATGACCTTTGACCTTCCCAAGACCCTATAAATACCACTTTTCACCCTTTATTTTTCATTTTTTCACTCTCAACTCCCAGTAAAAGTAGTTTGAATTTGAGACTAGTGGGTTTTGTGAGCGACCACCTTAAGAGGTAAGTGTTCGAGCTTTTAAGTTATTTATTTTATATTAGTAATATAATGTCGAGTGGTAATAGTAAAGGGTGGGTTAAGTGATAGTAGTAGTCGTTCCTTTAAGAGATCGAATACCAGCAGTCCTAAGGACATATGTACGTCCCTTATTCCAATGGTCATACATGTTAGCTCACACTCTGAAGATGTGACAATCTTGACCTACCCCAAAGAGCCCACTAAGTATAGAGAACATATAATTATTAAGACAGCTAGGGAGTTCGGGGTCATGTCCCCGTGTGACGTTAGGGCCTCCGAGCCAACTGATATAGTAGTAGATGCTCTAGAGAGAGATTACTTTTTTAGGGATGCCCTTAATGTCGGGCTTAGGTGGCCGCCTCTCTACCCTTTTTTATCCACTTCCTAACCTTTCTTATGTATCTAGGTCCGTTAGCCCTTAATAGTTGGAGGCTCTTGATGTACTTTTTTATCCTATGTAGATGCTTTAGCACCGAGCCTTGACTCGACCTCTCAAGGATGGTTTTTGGTATGAAATTTGCATCGAGGTATAACTGTTTTGTGTACTTGTCTACCAAAGGGGGGTTTAGGATGCTTGAATTCCCGAGCTCATTTCAAAGATGGAATGAACGATTCTTTTTTGTAAAACCTCAACACCTTGATCACTCCTTTAGCCTGAAGTTGGAAATTCCTGACAACTTCAATGATGGTTAGGAGTACCTCGAGATTTTAGAGAAGGATAGGCTGAAGTTAGTAAACCAGGACCCTTTTGCAGAGAGAATTGATTATCTACTAAAGAATGATACCCTCGGCCTTGCCAATGTGAGAGGCATCGAGGGTTCGATCGTTATCTTATTTTGTTTTTCTTGTGTTTCCCCGAACTTTAGATTGAGCTAATGTCTTGCGTCAATTTTTGCAGAGTTAGATATGTCTTTTAGTCATTCCAAACTCCTTGTGAACATCCACCACAAGGCAAGGGCTCGAAGCCCAAGGTGTCGGCCCTATCTAAGGAGAAGAAGGAGGCCAGGGAGGTAGCCCCAAGCAAAATTCCAAGAGGGGTCGAGCAGTCATCGAGAACAAAGAGCCCAACCTCATTGACTGTTAGGGTCGACTGTTTAACATGCGGGTTCGACAACCGTTAACAGTCGGGCAGTTGCCCTCTCCATTTTTTCTTGGAAAGTCGTCGTTTTCGAGAGAAATGGCAACCTAGTCCATACTCAAACATCTACCTAAATAATGAACAATAAACTAAATAAATGCTAAATTTAATCTTTACCATATATGAAAAATCAATCTCATAATCTACAAAAAACTAACATTGTTGAAGATAATGTCGCCAGTGATTGGGATATGTGATAATAGGTGTGAGGGTGGTGTAGTCGACTGGATTCCGACCGTGTGAGTTTTTTTCTCTTTCCTCTCCACTGTTTACATTTTGCACAAGATGAAGGGTATTTTTGGCTTTTAGTCTTTAACTTTTATCCTTTTTTTAATGGTCAAAGGCCATAATGAAAATATGGCCGGGTCAACTGGCCATTTCCATGTATTTCCTCGACTTTTTTTTTGCCTTGGTGTCCCTACAAAATGGGGCAAGTGCTGGTTTCTTTTAATGTAGAAAGGAAGCTTAAGTTTAATCAATAGATTTAAAAGCATGACAATTTTTGGAATAGTTTAGGTTTACTAGATAATAAGCTCTGTTTTTTTGGTTTGCGGTTGCACTAACAGTTGCGGTGATACAACATTGTGTGGATGGGTGGCGACGATGACTGATTTTCTGATTTTGGGGTTGGGGTGGTAGGTGGGAGAAGATGAACAGATCATTTTTATTTTTGTTTTTTATTTAATTATTATTTTAAAGTCTTTTAGGGAAGAAAATGTAATTTGACTATTTTGCCCCTCATTTAATTTATCATTTTGAGTCAAACATTTAATTTAATGGTTGACTAACGGATAAGTAGATGAAATCTATCAAATGGACTCCAGTTGCACATGTGGAAGTTAAAGGTTTGGGACTGCAGTCACAAAAATGAAATGTTAAAGTATATTCTCCAATAAAATGAAGGTTTCGGGACCTCCGTTGCAATTTTCCCTAAAAAAATGTGAACTGGGTTCTTACGCGTCCAAATTGAAAAGTTTGAGTCTCGAAACTTTCTCATCTGATATTCAAGCGATGAAATGTTAACAAAGGTACATTATGAACTTGTTTTTTTAATTTTCAAATGCTCTGGGAAAATCAATAGACAATAGTGGTTTGCATTGATTTCCAGATTATGAAAATTGACTTCTTCTACATAATACCTTAAACAATGGATACATTTACCAAATATCTGAACCATTTTTGCTAGACGTGATGAGGTTCTCAGTAAAATTATTTCTGGTGATAACCTTGCGAACAATTTACAAAAGTTTATTAGCTAAAATTTCCAAAGACCTCTGTAAGACATGATATTGCAAGACATAATATATGTAATCCATAGTGAGAGATTTGTTGGATTGTGCATCCATACAGTATAATTTTGTTGATATAAAATAACATTTTTATAATAAATAAATTGTGATTCTTATTTATTTTGTGTTATTGCATTTATTTGAATTGAGCATATGAATAAAAATGTTTATGATTATTTGTGATAAAATAAGTTGGGTGTTTGCTTGGAGAAGTGTCATATGATATAATTTATATTTTGATCAAAAAATTATTTACAATCAATGTACGGGTTAACACATTGTAATAAAAAGTCGTAGTAATGACTAATTCATTATTCGAGTTTACGATTTGTTCTTATCGTAGGAATAGTTTAATAGATGACACTAGTACACTTATTTGAGTGCATTGAACACACTATGTATCGAGTTTAATTCTATAGCATGATCATGAGAAGAATTAAATTTCACTTGATAGTTGAATATTTTATGTAAATCCCTAGAAATGATTGTGTGTATATTATGTAAGTTTAATAATTATTTGATTTATCAATTGGTGAGAACAATTTGATTAGCCAAATATCTTGTGAAGTTTGAATCATGAGAATGAACAGAGTAGAGAACGCAAATTCATATTGAAATCGTCGTTTTGAAAAGTATTACAAATATATAATAGCTTTTGTGATTTTATATTATCTGATTGTGCAACCTTTGTCATTAATGGAAAAACAAAGACTAATTGCTTGATTTTATATGTTATCAGGTTGCTATAATTGGAGCTATTTTTATAAACAAGTTTGATGTAATTTCTTATATTCAAATTTTAATTTTAATTAAAGTCAACAATTAATTTTAATTATTCATTTTATGAGATCCACAACTTTTCATTAACTTATTTCATCAACTTTTATCTAAATCTACTAAAAAATCGATTTTAATCCCCACCGAA